ATATTAAATATATATATTTAAGACATATTATATATAAAAGAATAGAGAATATAAAAATATATTTTTCTAAAAATGAATATTTGGAGAAATGTATTATAAGAAATTTTAATTTTAATTATTTAATTTTATTTTTACAAATATCAATTGTATTTTAAATGGGGATATAAATGATAATATGATTTAATAATAAAATAAATATAATATATTTATATTGTAAGAAGACTTTATTACAAAGTAAGAAAAAAAACGATATTTTATTTTAAAAAAACGATGACTTATTTTAAAAATAGAAAAAGAAGAATTTAAAAAGATTAATCATCGAACAATAATAATAGAATAAATAAAGAAACAATCAAAAGTAATTTAGAAATAATTAAAGTATAAAAATGTTTAACAAAAAATGATTATTATTACTTTTTAATTGATTTTAAAAATGAAAAGTTAATTATAAAAAATGAATTTATTATACATAATTAATTAAAATTATATTCTATTAATAATAAATTAGTAATTATAACAAAATTTTTTGCAGTTAGATTTTAAAAAAATAATAAAAAAAAATGGATTAAAATAAAAGAAAAGAACATAGTAATGTTGAAAATACTAGTAAGCTATGTGATTAAATTAAAATGAGATGTTTCGAACAATCAGAAGAAATGGAGGAAAGCATATGTATTAAGAATCGAAGATATCCGAACGACAAGAAACGGAAACACCCGAAGTGGATGCAGTGCGAAACATCACGTAGCTGGTGTTGCTAGGCGGTCTGTTAAAGAACGATGGAAGGGAAAAATTAAGAAGGAGGGGAGTGTTTATATAAAAGAGGCGTCATCATTGGTCGACAAATCAGTTGTGTCGGTCTAAAGCATGATATGAGTAGAGATGTGTTACATTTGACAATATAGTGTTGCAGTTTCCAGTGAAAGTTAAAGAGAAAGGATAGTTATGATTGTACTGATATTTATATTTAAATAATTAAAAAAAATGATTTTGTCGAGTTTATAAAAATTATTGAATTATTATTAGTGAAAATATAATATTGAAGCTTTGAATACATTCACGCATTGAAGAAATAATATATATATTGTGTATTTCAAGAAGGTCATTCTGACATTAACCGTATCCTGTGTATTTGTGTATGTGTAACATCTTTCGACATGGAAGTTTTACCATGTCCTGTAAATGTGAATTTTAGTAACACGAGAGGTATATTCTTTCAATAAATTTTCATAATTTAATATGATTTTCTTTCTTTCAAATTTAACTTTTTTTTCATATTATATGAAAAAAATATGATATTTCATTTTAATGTACGGTATTTATTTTTTATTTCTAAAACATTCGAAGATTATTTAGAATCGATTTTTTGTCATTTATTCAATTATTTGTTTTTTCGTTGTTTCGTTTCATCATGCTTGAAATATATATATACAAATCTATATAAAATTGAACAGAATATATGTAATCCATAGTTATTCTTTTTTTTTTTTAAAAAGAAGAAATTTCTTAAAAAAATAATCAACAAGCAATATTATAATAATTATATATATATGTATTATAAGCAACGTTTTACTTTACAATATCAAAAAAATTTTAACTTTCTAAGTTATTCGGTACACTGATATACTGGTACAGCCGGCCGGTTGTCATATAATATTTATATAGGTATTTGTATTCATACATGCGTGCGCAGCTAATAAAATGCACTTGCTTATTGTTAAATCTATATATAAGAATACATAAAATAAATATATTCTTAAAACATATTTTTAAACATATTTTTATTATTATTATTTATTATTATTGTTATTATTAATATTAATTATATAATAACATGACATTAGAATTTATTATATAATTGTACGAAAATTCGTTTGTAAAAAGAAAATAGAAATAATGATATAATTATAATTAATTAAATACGTTTATCATTATATAGTTGGAACAGCTGAAGAATTTGATGGAGCCTGCCAGGCTCTAGCAAAACGATTGGAAGTTGAATTAAGAAGAGCAAAGCATGTACAGTTAGCATGTGGTGAAGTTTTGTTACCTGCTGATCTTTTGCCAAGAATAGCTAAAAATGTACTTAGCATGGCTGAAAATGAACCTTGTGGTCTTAGGTAAGTTTTGATATTATGTTTAGTAGTAATATTTTTTTTTTTTTCCAAGTGCATACATATATTTTCATATATATATATTTTATATGCTTTTTATATTTTTATTACAGAGGATGTACATTGTTTATTAGTTTTGAAACGGACAATGTATGTAGAAAACTATCAAAAATACAATGTGACCCTAATACAGTATCTACCTTTGAACTTTATTTAACTTTGAAACAAGATCATACATCTTGGCATATTCTGTTACCTCAATTTCTAAAGTAAGTCAAATCACTATAATGAATAATAATTTATGAATATATATTATTGATTTATTTATTTTTCTTTTTAGAAATCTTACACGAGGAGGTACTATTATGATCAGTAGAGATTTTACTTTGGAGAAAAAAAAATTATATAGATCATATCAACAAGTATAATGAATAATCTGATGAGATCTGAGAATCATTGATTAATTTTTTTCATAAAAATGATTATTCTAAGCTGTTCTAACTATAGGTGGGCTCCAACATGGCTATTTTTATTTTCCGAAGATGGATTTTTGTGATTTACATTTATTTTACAATATATTTGATTTAAAGGTAACCAACATAAGGATCAGAAAAATAAAAATAATAAAAAGAAGATAAACATGAGATGCAAGATAGAATGGAAAGGGGCGAAATTTATGAGTTTTAACAATTGTGATATTAAAAAAAATTTATAATACTATTAAGTCTGAAAAGTTTCTTTACGTGATATCTAGATTTTATATATTGCCTAATATTCATAACTCAGTTTGAATAATATTTTTTTAAAAATATAAACATATCTGATCAAATGATATTGTAAATTAAAATATATTTCTTTAAATATATGTTGATATATTTTGTGAATTAATTTTAAAAACATTGGTGATAAAAATTTCTAGATTCTCGTAAAGAGACATTTTTTCATAAGAGATATAATCTATATCTTCATTCAAAGAAGAAATGACTCGTCATAAGACTAATAATAATTTTTCTGCATTTATACATAATAATGCGGTAAAATTTAAATCAAGTTTTGTTAGTAAGAATTATTATTCTTGCTAAATGATAAAACTAGTAATAGTAGTAGAAATAATGTATACATGTGTTATATACTTATAAGCTTCAAAAATACCAATGGATATCTAAAGTAATTTCGTTTGATACAAATTTTGTATATTTTTCTTTTGTGAGAACATCCTTTTTTTCATATCGATTATTAATCGATATATATCTATATAATTTTATCCACTTATAATAAGTGGATATAGTTATATTCATTTCTTTATTTATCTATACATATACACATATATATTCAATCCTACCGAAATTTTTTTATTTTCTATATGTTGTTTTTGTTTTTTTTTT